TCTTTGGAGTCTAAATTAACTCCGAAGGACTCTATCTGAGGAAGAAGCTGAATTAGAAATTCCAGGTATTTATGGCTGTAGAATTCTTCAGCTATGGAAGCTTCTTCTGCATTCGGCTTCCCTATCTTTCTTTGCATTACAGGTTATCCTCGACTTACAACAGTTCGCTTAGTGACTGCTCCAAGTTACAACGGCACTGAAAAAAGTGACTTATGACCATTACAGCCTTGTGGTTTATATTTGGATGCTTGACAACCTGACTCATCTTTATGATGGTTGCCGTGTCCCGGGATCATGGGAACACTTTTTGCAATCTTTTGACAAGCAAAGTCGATGGGGGAATCATATTCACTGAATAATTGTGTTGCTAATTTAACAGTGGCAGGGATTCACTTAACAAATGTGGCAAGAAAAGTCATAAAAGGGAGCAAAATTCATTTAACAAATTTTTCACTTAGCAATATACATTTTGGGTTGAATTGGGGTTAAATTGAGGACTACCTGTGCTTCTGAAATGTGCACAAAGAGTTTCAGCTTTTCTTTTTGACTATCCTTGATTCGTTTCTAAACTGATAGGCACACAACTCCTGGAGTGGCTCTTAAGGGCCTCTCGTTATTCTACCATTGCCCAGTGACAGATCCGTGCCCCAGCAGAGATGATGATGCATGGGTTAGGTATGGCATTCTTTTCTGCTTTTTCTGTTTCCCTCTTGTGGTGGTTAACACAACAACAATGTTATATTCGCAACAGAACACCTTATGCCCCCAGACTTGAAATTTTGGGCTTAGACAGCTTAGAATTTCGCTGTCTTCAATCTGATCTCAGTGTAGTACATAAAATTATCTGCTACAATGTTCTACCTGTCAATGACTACTTCAGCTTCAACTACAACAACACACAAGCAAACAATAGATACAAACTCAAGGTAAACTGCTCCAAACTTGACTGCAGAAAATATGACTTCAGTACAGACTTGTCAATGGCTGGAATGCTCTACCTGACACTGTGGTTTCTTCCCCAAACCCCCAAAACTTTCACCTTAGACTGTCTACTGTCGACCTCACTCCATTCCTAAAAAGTCTTTAAGGGGCGTGCATAAGCGCACCAGGGTCCCCTGCCTTCCCTGTCCTAATATTCCCTTGTATTTGTATTCATTTCATGTATTCATACTCATGTCTATACTTATATCTGTTATCTAATTGATGCTTGATGAAAATAAATAAATAAAATAAAAGTTTAAAAAACCGTTCACATCAGCATTTCCCATGCACAATACTCTGTTTTTCATGAATATGTCACGGAGCCAACGCTGGGTCAGTCATTCTGAAAGCTGTACTCCCGACAGGACTATAAATATTTATATTGGCTTCGGCTATTGATGGTGTGGAAATATCTTTCTCTTAAACATATTAACATGTGCGTGCCTGCAGCTTTGAGAAGGGAGTTGCACAGGATCTCCTCCTATCAGATTCACGAGTTTCCACGAGAGTGACTAAAACCCCAACATTATTGTGCCTGAACAATGAGGCATCATCATTGAATTCTGTAATCTCTGCACTGCGATGTGAGTGCTGTGGAATGCAGCATTCTTGTTTGTTGTCTGGAACAATATTTGCTAACCCTATTCATACTTTCCTTTTGACTTGGAGGTTGTACAGGTAATCCTCAGCTTATGACCACAATGGGGGATCATAATTTATAGAATAAAATAGAATAACAGAGTTGGAAGGACCTTGGAGGTCTTGTAGTCCAACCCCTTGCTCAGACCCTTGCTCAGCCTGGGTGGGTGTGGCTAGGTGCAGAGGTGGGTTTCTGTCAGTTCGCCACGGATTGGGTGAACCGGTAGTGACAGTGGCAGGAGACGCATGCTCACAAGTGTGGAGAGTGACCCGGTAGTAAAATACATTGAAACCCACCACTGGCTAGGTGGTCATGTGACTGGGTGGGCGTGGCCAATTTGATGTCACTCACGTCACGGTGACCGCTGCCTTAAACCACTATTTTATACCAATTTGGCTCTTTTTGTTTGTCTCAATTTTTGCATCCCAATCACAGAGGAGGAATGAGGACCGTCAGCAGATGTGCAGAGAGCCACAGATGGCCTTGGAGAAATTAAACACAGGTGGTTGCACCAACACGTATAAAAGCATGTTCTAATCCTGGGAAACAAATCAAACCCTAGGAAGGAACTCAGATTGGCTCCACCCGCATTCTCCAGGAGATTAGAGGGAGAGAAGGAAAAACACAGTCAGGCTTTCAAGATTCTGTTACTGTATAGCCTATTATACTGCTAGTCAAACTTTGGAGAGCCAGTTTCCTCACCTGGCCTACCTGGAAGGGACTGACCAGCTGGAATCATCTGGGTTATTGTTTCCTCCTGAAGTTTGGGAGTGATTGATGGATTGAGGAAAGGAGTTTCCTTTTTATACTGCATCAAATCTGTTTTAGCATTTAGACCACATTTTGCAACAGGATACACGTAATTGGATTTTTGGAATTATAGAAACATGTGCATATTTACATTTACACACATAATTATTTACAATTTTTATAATCCTCTCTGTATGTATGTATGATTTTGGAGGGGGGGGGGATTGTATTATCAGGCCGCAGTATTAACGTGGATGAAAGAAAGGATTTTATTAAGACACATAAGACTGCTGACTTTGGAAGGACATGACCTGCAATTAGGTTGGCATGCCTTCTTGTGGTATGGGAAAAAATAAGGTACATGGTTACTTTCAGAGACATTATATAAGAAATGCATTAATGTTAGTATAAGAAAAAATTAAAGAGCACATTATTTGAGGATACCCGTTTGGCTTTCAACAATGGAAACACTGATTCACCCAAATGTTATCAACATGGGAAATATTGTTAGATATAATACAATAATACAGTACAATAGCAGAGTTGGAAGGGACCTTGGAGGTCTTCTAGTCCAACCCCCTGCCTAGGCAGGAAACCCTATACCATCTCAGACAAATGGCTATCCAACATCTTCTTAAAGACTTCCAGTGTTGGGGCATTCACAACTTCTGGAGGCAACTTGTGTTCCACTGATTAATTGTTCTAACTGTCAGGAAATTTCTCCTCAGTTCTAAGTTGCTTCTCTCCTTGACGAGTTTCCACCCATTGCTTCTTGTTCTACACTCAGGTGCCCTGGAGAATAGTTTGACTCCCTCTTCTTTGTGGCAACCCCTGAGATCTTGGAACACTGCTATCATGTCTCCCCTAGTCCTTCTTTTCAAAGATATCTTGAATGAAAAGGGAGAACTCAAAACCAAACAAGAACTACATGAATAAGGGATCGATATGGCATGGTATTCACAAGTGCAGATTCATTCCAGATATTCTATTGTAGAGAAAGATGCCAAATCATATGGTTTTTTAATAAAGAATTAATCGAATTAGATAAGATACTAACAGGAACAGAAGAAAGATTGATAAAGAAACTGTACAGTTACCTACTGGGTATAAAATTGGAAGACAAACAAGTAAAGGAGACAATGATAGCATGGGGGGAAAATGGTCACACAATCGAACTAGACAAAAGGCTGAGACTGTAGGATAGGAATTATAAATGAACGATGTCAATTGCATATAAATAAAATTTGTATCAGATGTTTTATAGAAGGCATCTTGCACCAGCGAGGTTGGCAAAGATGTTTAAAGATAAGTCAGCTAAATGTTGGAAGTGCCACCAGATACCTGGGTCTTATTATCATATGTGGGAGCATGTGTAGAAGCAAAAAAATATTGGACAAAAATACATCCATGGCTGGAAAAGATGATAAAACAACACACTGATTTAAAACCAGAAATATTCCTGTTGGGGATTTTACTTGAAACTTATCGTAAAGAGAACACATATTTAATTATTCATATATTAACCACAGCTAGAATTGTATTTGCACAACACTGAAAAAGTGAAGAGATCCCTACTGACAAGAAGGTGATTAGGAAAATATTAGAATGTGCAGAAATGAACAGATTAATGCTGGCAATTAAGGACAAAGAACAAACTGAATATTATATGGTATGGGAGTCATTTTATCAATGGTTACAGAATAAAAATGGAAGTTGGAAATAAAAGGATATTAAAGAAGAATAGAAAACATGTTAAGATAAAGACATAAATAATATGCTAATTGTTAATATTATGCTAAGGATTATTATATTAAATATTATTAATGCATTTTATTAGAAGATAAGTTAAAAAAATGAAAAGATTTTACTATGTTCAACTGTTTCATATACCATAATTCTAAGATTAGAAAATTAACACTAATGTGAATGATGTTGTAAATTGTGATGGTTATTGCACAGAGATATACTCAGAGGACACACTGTTTAAAGGAAGATGGAATGTTCATATTTAAAAATATATATATATATATATATATATATATATATATATATATATATATAAAAGAATTTTTTGGAAAGGAAAATATAAGCAGACTAATTCTACCCCTTCTGGCTGCAGAACTAGCCCAGATTTACTAAAAGCTCAACTCCTGGGAAAATGTAGTGGGAAACGGTTTGGATTATTGCGGAATTTCTCTCCCTCTCGAAGGGCGCTTAAGATCACCGCCGTGGTTGCCTAATCCTTTAAGGCAGCCTCAACTTTAAGTTGAGCATCTGGCTCCCCCCGTCCCGAAAAGTCCAGCAAGGTGCGTGCAGAGGTGTATGTGTGTGTTTGTTTGTTGGGCTGTTTGGAAAACAGAGCAGGAGCATCACCTGAGTCGCCTGAAATTATGCGCATTTGAGTGTTGGCGAAGGGAGGGGGGCTTCATATAAAGAGGGCAAGCCCCCCCTAAAAAACTAAATAATTTCAAGTCCAGCTTTTTATATATATATAAAAAAAACAACTCTTGCAAGAGAGAGACAAGTGGGCGGGTGTTTCCCGTGATTGACAGAAGGTTGGGCCAACCAGCCAGCCGTCTGACGACTACCTGTTGGAACGGGCAGGTTCGTCTCGGGCGCTCGCCCCGATTCTCCCAACGCGGAAGCCTCTAGCCGGAACAGAAGGGAGGGCCCGAGCCCGGGGCCCGAGTATGGAGCCTGTCTCTCGCTGGACTTCCCAGACGGTGCTGGCTTGGATCCGAGGTAGGGGGCGGCGGCGGCGGCGGCAGGACCTGCCGGGCTTTCCGGGGTGGGTGGATGGATTAGGGCTCCCCCCCAAAAAAAGGTGGGCTTCAATGAGACTCGCTCCGACCCTTCTGTGCCTAACCCCCTTGCGGCCCCAGGTGAGAGGAACCCACCTGCCAGGGACGGGATAGCAACCGGAGTCAGGTGCCCCCTGCATTCCTGCGGAGGGCAAGGTTGGTCCTGCCCAGCTGGGTTCGGGAAGGGAGGCTAGTTAGTGTCCAAATGTAGTTGGTCGTTTCAGGTATTGATGCGATGCGGGCTGGGGAAGAGGAGCTTTACACATTTGGGGGTGACAAACCCCCACCCCACCTTGTTCCTTGTTTCTTTTCAAATCCTTAAACACAGCGCTTCTCTCCCTCTCCCTCTCGCCCCCTCTCTCTCTGTGTTTATTACTCTCCCTCCCTCTCTGTAGCTTTCTCTCTCTTTCTCCCTCTCCCCCGCTCTCTCTGTATCTCTCTCTCCCTCTCTCCCTTTGTCTCTCTCTCTCTCTCTCTGTTTCTGTCTCTCTGTATCTCTTTCTCTGTTTCTCTCCGTATCTCTCTCTCCCTTTCTCTCTTTGTCTCTCTCTCTCTTTCTCTCTCCCCCTCTTTCTCTCTCTCTCTCTCTTTCTTTCTCCCTCTCTAAACTTTAAATCTGCAAGAGAATTAGATTAGATTTAAAAGAACATGGGCAGCTCTGAATGGGCTGGTGGATTAGTGATGCTTGCTCTCTTCAATATCCTTATGAGGACCAAGGTATTATATCCACCACTCTGACCCCCACCTCACCCCACCCCATCCCATCCCATGCCTTTACAATATTGAATTAGGACTGAGGAGGCTAAGATTCACTCTGCGCTTGGCACCTCACAACCTACACCACATTGTTGGGAAGATCAAATAAAAGTCCCTTGAGCGTTCAGAGGAAGGATATATAAACATAACACCTAGGGGTATGTATATGTGGTATGTGCGTGTATATGCATTTAGCACCATGCTTAGGTGGCTTTTATATGTCATCTGCCACATTCTATTATCCTCAGTATACTGTTATTTATTGCCAGTCATTCTTTGCTGTCTCAAGGAAAAAAAGCTTGTTCTGCCCCACCCTCCCCATGGCTCAAGCACAAACTGCAAATCTTATTAAACCAGCAATCTAAATCATCAAGTGCATTCAACTAGGACAGAAACAATAAGTTGTTTTCATTCCGTCCATCAGTCTAATGCAGTCTGGCAAGTTTAAGACCTGTGGACTTCAACTCCCAGAACTCCCCACCAACTCCCCACCTTAAAGCCACCAATTTTGGGAAACTCTGATCTATAAGATCTTGATGCCCAGCAGTGAATCAGGCCTTCATGCAGCTGTTAGAGTTTGGCTCAAGGGTTTGCAAATTGTCTTTCAAGTGACGGCAGTGTCTGTAGGGTATGGTGAAAAAAAGTCAAAATAGCCACCTTGAAAGTGCAATCAAAGTTTTTATGGGCACACATCAAGAGAAGCTTCAAATGCAACATCATGGCCATTACCTTGACTTTTTTGACCAGGCACCCTGTGAACATTTCTGAGTAGTCTATTGAACATTTTCTAACATAGAAATGACAAATGATGGTTGTTGTGGCCAAAGAAAGTTAGAAGGGTCCTTGTAGGTCATGTAGTCCAACCCCATGTCCAAGTAGGAGACCATACACCATTTCTGACAAATGGCAGTCCAATCTTTTCTTGAAAGCTTCCAGTGATGAAGCTCCCACAACTTCCAAAGGCAACTTCTGTTCCATCGGTGATTGTTCTCACTGTCAGAAAAATTCTCCTTATTCTATGTTGTAGGCTATATAGCTATTATCCTTCTCATCCTTTCTCATCTTTCCTACTATCTTCTCCTATTGGTATCTTATGATTTATCACTTGCTGTTTGTATCATACGATTAATGATTGCGACTATAATTTATGATCTATGACCTATCACTTTGTTGCTTAAGTGTATACTCACAGCTTATGCACCGGAGATAAATTCCTTGTGTGTCCTGTCACACTTGGCCAATATTCCTATTCCTATTCTCAGCCTGATTGCTGTCATTCCTATCAGGTCGTCTCTGCTAGATTAGGTGGGGCAAGTAGAAGCAATGATGGTCTTAAAACAACCCCAAGCAATTTTCAAACTGAGAAGTGACATTTAAAGAGAAAGGGGGAAATTGAGCAGATAGTCCTCAGTTTACATTATTTGATTAGTGGCCCCAGTGACTGAGGACCAGTTTTCACATTTACGACCGCTGCATCATCTCCATAGTCATGTGATCAAAATTTGGGCACTTGGCAACTGGCATATATTTATAACAGTTGAACTGTCCCGGGGTCATGTGATCACCATTTGTAACCTTCCCAGCCATCTTTTGACAACCTAAGTCAGTGGGGAAAGCCATGCTCACTTAACAACTGCATGATTCACTTAACAACTGCATGATTCACTTAACAACTGCATGATTCACTTAACAACTGCAT